TTTGCCTGTTTACTGCATGGAAAGTGAATACTACATTTTCAAGGATTTCCACACACACATACCCACACACACCCACAATTATATATATATATACTTACTAAGGACCTTGGAGGCAGCACCAACAAGATCGTATGTTTTCACATCTTCATACACCTGCCGTACCAGAAAATGACCCTCCATTTCCAAGCCTGCCTCTTTCCTACCAAATTTAAAATAAACACTAAGAAAAACAGCTATTTCCGTTAAAAACTCTTTAAAACGGATGGAAATCGTGATTAACAACTGATATTGATTTTTTTCTCTGTCAGAAAATTTCACAATGATATCAGATGTCAATTAAATATAAAGATAATAGACAGATTATAGTTCTGTTCATAATAACAAACGGATACACGATCAAATTTGCCAGAAGACGATTTTTTTTTTTTAAATGATGGTACATGGCATTGTATATATAAAACCAGGTATTAAACTTTTGCAGCATGGTTTTGTAGATCGCTTGTCCTATAAAATATAACTAGAACTGCCAATAAAATATAAATGTAATTTAATAACACTCAACTGCATGCCTTGCATGAAGTGGGACACGTAGTGTTTCTAAGATGAGTAAGAATTACAATAAGAGAGCAGATCCAATATTCCCCCAGCATCAGAGGTACAATGGTGAAGAAGATTGAATTATAGGCAAATATTTGACGATGGTAAATCAAATATATCCGAGGGTACTTCAAACCGAAAATTGATTTACATCTGCAGCGGAGAAATTGATCCGACAGAAGAAAAAAAACCCACAATGCACGAAAGGATCGGCGTGTCCATGCCGAGGACAGAGCTTATTTCAGTAGACTTCAGACTCTGTGTTCTACCTTACAGAACATTATCATTCTTATTTGAGGAGTGTTGAATCTTAAAAGTGTAAATATCAAATCATTTAGCATAATTTATACTTATAGACTACCAATTACAAAAAGAGCAATTGATATTATATTTTGCTTGGTTAAATAATGTTTTATTAACATTTACAAATGCTAAAAATGCATTTTCAAATTAAATGACATGTACATTTTTTGGAGGTAAGCAAATACATTGTACATTTTAAAATTCATAATTATATGTAATTTTTATTAATTTTTTCTTTCTTTCAACTTTTTGAAATATATGCATTTGTACAGCCTATGTAGGCCCCAAAGGGCAAAGACTTACAATCTCATGTATTCGACCAATCCTTAATTATTTTTTTTATTGAATTTTTCAGTAACTAGCCGCTGATATGGTTTTTGCAATAACGGTTGAAACAAGATTAAGTAGTGTTAAAAAACAAACAGTCAAAGTACAAGTCCGTGTACTTTAATAATTTCAAACACCTACTGTGACCTACACCGCTCGAAGTGGAAAAGTTAATACACGAGCTAGCATCTTTCCAATACTTTCAAACACAACACCAAAAAGCTCTTTTACTACAGCAGATCAAGATTTAGGAATACATTATTTACAACTAAACATGACAGCGATACTTAGTTTTGTCAGTGAACGTACTTGTGTCAAAGTGTCGGAGCGAGAGCTAGTTTCGCTCTAGCATATATACATTTAAAAAATATTCTTTGGTATATTGAACTTTTAATTGTTTAACTGAAGATTTTAACAAAATAATTTTTTTGGCCTTTGATTTTAGTATTAAAATAAATAATTGCCAATAAGAAATCGCGCTGAACTAAAACCAATGGTGTATACAGTATTATATGTATGGTAATGGAGCAAACAGTAAAAATAGAGCAGACAATTAATGATACAGAGCAATGGCAAAAAAGTATTCCCGATAGTGAATAGCAGACAGAAATATTGTTAATGGCATGTTATAAGGAAAACTAAAATTAGAATTCAATGGTGGAAGGCATCGATTTAAATTTAGATACAAGTATTCATAGTTCGGCCAAAAACAGTCACGTCATTGTTGCTTAAGGATTCCTTCACTTACTTGATATTTTCCCAAGCTTCATCTCCAAAGTTCCGGACCACCAGCAACTCCAAGGCGTAATTCACAAAGCCGTACTAAAAAAAGAAAGAACCTTAGTGATCAGTAACCATATTGAGAAAGAAACCAACACGTTAACCGTACAGAGTAAGAAAATTATTGGTGAACACACGTTAACCATACTGATAATAGAGAATTGTGATGAACATAATCATTAAAACCATACTGAAAACAAAAACAAACCCAGTAATCACGATGAACTTTATTAATGATGATTGTATATGTTGGCGAACATGTAAACCTTACTGAAAATAAAGAACCTCAGTGATCACGATTCTGTAAAACCACTGAAAAACCAGCAGTGAACATGATCCTGTTAATTAACTATACTGAAATTGAAGAACCTTCATGATCGCGATCATGTTAACTTTACTTACATTAAGGTAGGCTTAAGACTACAAATTCTTGTTAACTAATAAACCTTTGTGATTTCAAGTTCATTACCATAAGTAGAACGAATTTTAATGATAAGAAATTCACGATAATCGAACAGAATCTTCTTGATTACAATCGTAAACAAAATGATATAAATAATTCAAAGCTTGTGAAATAAGTAGGCATTCTGATTTTCCTATTTATAAATTATAGGAAGTGCGTTTAACTGTACTAATAATTATTGTTTATTTAAGAAAATATAAACGTTCGAAACACTGCCAATTTGTTTTGGGAAGAGATTTTTCTACCGGATTTTGCAACATATGTTATAGGGCAACGTATTTATTGCCCGCTGTTGACTGGGAACGTACTTATTAAAATCATGAATCTATTGACTTACTATGACAGAGTTACACATTCCTTTGGTCTACTCAGATAGATCTTATATTTTCAGTTTACTATATCATAGGAATACTCTACATCTAAGTAGAGACATAACAACGTCCTATAACATTGTAAATTTAATTAACACTTGAAAATTTTTCTTCTTACAGCGTCAGTTTGACGGGGGAAAAGTCTTATAAAATAAGTCAAACAAATTCATCACTCTACAGACTAACTGAAGATAAAGTGCAACTCACAGTACAAAGCAGTGATACTCACCATTTTGCTGATGTTACCAGTCGCCCGCATTCATCACTCTATCGGCCAGTTCACTGCTTTCTGCGCTGTTTGGCTTTCTGCAATACTCTATCGTTCTCGTTTGATTTTACAACCTCGGAATAAAGCGCCGTTATTTACAATATACGGAATCCTTCCACTCCAAACGAACTCCCGCTTTTAAGTGGAAATTGCTTTATGTAAATTTTATCAGATATAAATCTTTAAAATGCTGGCGAAATATTGAGGGTGAGATTTCCTTTCTTTTGTTGTTAAAGGTATATAACATAGATGTGAGGAACAATTCGGGGCACGGGGAGGGGGCATAGAAAGTAGTGGGAGATAAAAACCGGACAGTTGTATTAAAGTATTAAGAATCAATCAAAGCGCGTGGGAACTCATCACATGACAAATATTTTAATGATAGCGCAACGGCCCTTTTATGTGGCATGCGTTACTAAGGTACTTGCATCTGAACCGAGCAATGTCATTTGATTATCTCTGTTTCTCTCTGTTCGGATGTTGGATTAATAATATAGTCTTATTTCACACCTGCCAGGTAAAACATTTGTCCACAATGAGGATCCAAGATGAAAATCAATCTCAGAATATTGTAGAGTGATATATGATACTCTGAAAACCGCGTAGTACCAAAAGACGGACGTGTAACACTGAACATAATCCTATCAACCTATGTCTTATTTAGCTTTTATGCATGTTTTCTGTATTTTTGTATGATTCTTTTGAGATGTAATGAGACGTAATGATTATATTAGCCTCATGTGACATTTATCCAACAGGATATTGTCACAATTTCTATAGTTGCCATAATAGTTACATTTCGTTGGTTCCACATCATTTGCCGTCTTTCAAAATATACAAAAAACCTGGACCCATAAATTTATTTATAATTCTTCAAGTGGGTATATTTTAAAACCGCATGGAATGCATAAATTTTATTGATTCTGTTTTATGGAGGTGATAAAGTTAACAGAGCAGTATTAATTATTCATCCCTTGTTTATAGCCTCATATACGTCCACTTCTCGTTTCATATTGAAATGTTTCAATAAAATTTCAGACCCCCTCTGTACTTTAAATTTTTAAGTCTGAAATGGAAAATTTAATCCCTGAATTCAGAGGCGGTCCTTCCTTTCCCTCGATCATTACTGTCTCAGTATGACATTTTCCAGGTCTGTCAGCGATTTGTCAACGATTGCGGGTTCCTATTTGTTGTCAGTGTATCGCGGTTGTTAATTGGGAATTGAATGTACCTAATTATTGGAGCCATTCAGGAGAGTAATAACCGGAATCCCGGACATATTTTCATTTAGCGAATTGTTGCCATCGTTAAAGAATTTCTGCATGTAAAGTTACGCACGAACAAACGATTACCATTTCAACTGGGAACCCCTCAATTGTCCACAGTGTTTATTTTCTCATCAACCGAACAATATTGGAATTCTCAAACAAAACCTGTCTTCCTAATCTATCAATCAGTCTAATTTTTAATAAACATTGTCATAACGTATGATAAATAATGTTGAAAATCAATACAAGCCAATCTACTGCCAAATTCAAATCGCAATTTTCTAAATTAAAATCACTATGTATCTCGCCAGGATGAAAGCGTAAAAGGAGTGGATAAAGAGGGACAACTCAAACAAATAGCCAGTATCACCAAACAATTTGGCCTTGCAAAAAATTATCGGCCTTGAGTGTCCATATCAAGAATCATTTTGTCATCTGCAGTTTATTAACATTTTACATTTAATTGTACCGAGAAGTAGCTTCTGCATCTTTTCATCGCATCATGCTGTTCACAAAATGCTATACATTTAGTTATTACGTATACGGTCAATAAGTGATACATGTAAAACAAAAACATTCTATAGTTCCTTCGATGTGTAATTTAATGGGAGAAAAACTCTCCATCAAAGTGTTGACATGTTTTGTTTCCTGTTTGTTCTATAGAACAGGCCTATTCTCCTATTTGGATCTCCCGTGGTCCCGTTGACCAGTCCACTTTGGCTGTCCGTCTCCTTGCCCTTGTCCCTGCTACAGGACAGGACCGCAAAGATGGCGATAATGATGATAACCAAGGCGCTCCCACTAGCCGCCAGGGCGATCCCTATTGTCTTCTTCTGGTTGCTCGCAAACCCATAGTCATCTGAAACAGAAGTATGATTATGACCGTCAGCTATTAATCAAAGTATCAATTTAGAAGCAGGATTACCGAATTAAAATATGTTGTATTATAAACAAATCAACGTGTTTAGACAAATGCTGAAACTACAATGTACTAGTATAACAGAAAGATGTCATTTTCTGGAATTATAATATTATAATTTACAACAATAAATTTATTAAAATATTTCCAGGATGCACATAACAAATGAATGAAGAATTTCATCACTAAAACAATTTCAGCATCATATAGAACAGAATTATGTAAGTTACATTGTCCAAATAATTTCAAACGTTTCTTTGTGTATCTAAGTCACGTATATATTTGGTTATCTTTCAAAATAACTTGAGTTTCTTTTCTTTTCATTTTGTGAGGTAACTGTCGGGTTATGAGGAGGTCAGAAACTTTCCGAATTCTCATTATAACATGTTCTGCACTTTACGCGAAATAACAATATACCAAATTCTACAATCATAAGTCATAAAACAATTAAAAAAGCACGTTTTTTAAGATCTGATCATAAGCAACAATTATTACTCTCTCCTTGTAGTACAAAGACATGATCAACACCGTGACAAGAATTTACACCAGCAGTTCCTCTGACCTTGTCCAAATGACCTTAATTTAGGATCATGACACATCTACTAATCATAACAAGAGGCCCAAGGGCCTTAATGGCCTGAGTGTAATACAACCCTGAGCAGAGAATATTTTCAAAGAATTAATGCATGTTCACTAAATAATCAACAGAATCCCACCCTAACACCTAGGGGCCAGGAATTTCACAATTTTGATGGAGGAACCCTTACTCATCATAATTATGCACTTAGTTTATCTGCTAAATACCCAGGTGTAGAAATTTTCAAAAAATAATGCATTTTCATTATTTGATCAGAAGAGCCTTATCCTAATACCAGAACCCCTGACCATGGGACCCAGGGATTTCACACATTTGGAAGAGACACCCTTGTTCATTATAACTATGTATTTAGTTTGTTTGCATTTGAAAGGGATACCCTTGCTCATCATAACCATACAATTAGTCTGTCTGCTTAATATATATACAGAGAAAAAAAGACGTTTTTGAAATAAACAATGCATTTTCACTTTATGATCAATAGAGTCTCACCATTGCACTAGAACCCCTAACCCTGAGGCCATGAATTTTGTTATTTTGTTTTGATAAGAAATCTTTTTACCTACTTCACACGAACAATTGACTCACAGGTAGTACTGAAATCCCGTTAAAAAAACTTTGAAAGAGGCATCTGCTCATTTTAAAAAGGTCTCTACATTGACTTTTTTCTTCCTTGTTCATTCAGACAAGTAACCAAGACATTAACTTGTCTGAACTTCAACTTCACTTGTCCAAATGTTTTTCAATAAAGATCTAATACTGTCAACTTGAAAACTAAAATAAAGTCCATTACATATGCTTGATTGATTCGTGATGTTATTGATAAAAACAACAAACACACAAATTTTATACAGACTTTTTGTCCTGACAAAACATAAATGTTAACAAGTGAAACTGTCAACATCAAACAGAATCCAATCTTCATAAGTTCCATGCCTTCGCAGTAGTATACAATTAGTGAACTTCGATTCCGATCGAGTATGAACTCAAGTACATAGCGATCCATATCGGGATAGAAGTTCGGTTTTTATATACTGCTTCGGTCTTTAAACTACCGATAAAATTTCAAAAGTCGTTCTTTTCATTATTTGGAGACTTATTTACATTAAAATGCACTTGTCCAGTCGGACAAGTTCTCAGCAATATTCAATTGTCCGTAATTTTTTTTCACTGGTATCGGACAAGCGTAAATGTCGAACCTTGATAATCATGCAATTAATTTGTCTGCTAAATAGCCAGGGACAGGGAAGAAACTTTTCAAAGAATTAATGCATCTTCACTATATGGTCAATAGAGCCGCGCCCTAAAACCAGAACACCTGAGTCAGGGGCTATCAAATTCAAAATTTCGGAAGAGGCACCCTTGTTCATCATAACAATGCACTTAATTTGCTTGCTTAATACAGGAAGAAACAGAGGAGCAGAGAGGATTCTCTTAGAAATAATGCATTTTCATTATTTAATCAATAGAGCCTTGCCAAGAACCAAAGCACCTGACTCAGGGACCATGAAATTCACAACTTTGAAAGAGGGATCCTTGTTCATCATAACCATGCACTTGTTTACTTGATGCATATTCACTATATAATTAATCAATAGATAGAGCCCTGCCCAAACACCAGTCCCCTGACACAAGGTCCATGAATTTCACAAGTCTGAAAACACTCTTTCCGATCATAATCACAAGGGGAGGAGAGAAGATTTTTAAAGAGTTTATGCATTTCCAGTATATAATCAACAGAGCCCCACCCTAACTACAGAACCCCTGACCTTGAAGCCATGAATTTCGCAATTTTGGTAGAGGGCTCAATGCTTATTACAATCATGCCAATAGTATGACTGCTTGAAATCTAGGAGTAAAGAAGATTTTTGAAAATTGCATTAATTTTGATGTTTTAGCCCCACCCGGAATGAAACGCAAACATTCGTCAGGCAAACTTTTGTTTGAAACCTTCCACGAATTCTTTTGCTACCATGATTCCATGTGATAATGGCAATATATCAGACCCGCAGTTATCGTAAAATTTTAGTTCTTGTGGAGAGCTTAAAAGAAATAAAAAATAACTGCACGCCTTTCGTTAAAAAACTGCATTTAGACTCCCTTTATAGAAATGCAACTAATATACGACGTCATGCGACGTCACAGTCTAAACTGTGGATCCATTCGGCAAACCTCGGCTGATTCCGTCACCTTCATCAAACCTCGGCTGTACGAGGAAACTTGATATGCGTCTCCGCTTAACACTTGTGATAAGGCTGCCTGTTTACCGCTTAGGGAAAACGTAACGCTTTGAAAACGATAATAAACATGCATCTGATATGCGACAAAAATTTTCAAAAGCATTTAGGTAACACTAAGAAAAACACTTACCGAGAAAAATGCACTTAGTATCTTTACATAATCACATGTTTGTTAACGGATCGAATTCAGCACACTGTGCACGTGTATATGTAGGGCGCAGCCATATTGGGTATAAAGTAGCTCCGGTTCAATGGAGGTTTACGTGATACAGCCGAGGTTTGATGAGGTACGAATTGGCCGAGGTGTGCCGAGTGGTACGAATTGGCCGAGGTGTGCCGAGTGCTGTGGATCGTGCTGTTTGAAGTTTAAAAAGGCGGATCAAAGTTTCAAGTGTAAGCTGTGTATAGGTTTTTGATGGTACAACTACGCTCGCCCCAACAGACACACCGTAAACCATATCTTAATTTTTAGGAAATCCAAAGAATGAAACCTATATCATTTCTGGATCTGTGTTGAATGACGAAGCCGCTATTTTCATACGTGTAAAACCGGATGAACACATGCTGGTGGATCGGATATGCCAAGCGCAGGGCCTCCGTTACATTTCCGTCCTCCTCCCTCATCTTCCGGAAGCCAAACATTGCTGAGAAATTATATCCTGTAAAACAATACCTAACATCATTCTAAGCCAAACATCATAATCTTCCCATAATAATCAGTTAAAATCAAGATATGTATACTAAATTCCAGCTTGAGAACACTTTTGAACTGTACTCGGAAACGGTTATTATTCTTTTTTTCGCAGTTTCATAATAGATGAAAAATTCCAATATTCTTGACTACAAGCTACCTTACTGATTATACAAATGACCAATTTTCCTACTATTCCTTCTTAATCTGGTTTCTTCCTGTAGATTATTCTGACCATTGAGACCAAATTACAAACTTCACGTGGATACGCTTACAGATAACTGCAGCCTTGATCCCAGTGACCATGGTTTGAACAAAGAAAGTACACCATGCATATATTGAAAGAATTTATTTAATTTCAGACTACCCTGACACTGTGATTGTCGAAAAGATGATTTTTTTTCACAACCCAACGTTATTTGAAGTATTCAAGAATATTTCCTTCTGATCAGGTCAAGACCTTCATTTGAACAACCTTGAATCTCTTTAATCCCAAAATTCTTTATGGCTAAAAACTAATAATTTGAATGTAAGATTTATATATAGGACTGGATTTGACATATACGAGTGCCTTATGAAACCACCTTCAAATCGTCACATTGCGTAAAACGGTGTAACTGCTTATTACCGTCATAAATGAGGAGACAGGACTTTCCCACGGTACACGGCTGGTCATATTGAATGGTTCTCACTAGATAGAGCTCCATCATCTCCCCTGGCTGTCCCGTGATCCTCCAGTCATAACAAATGTCGTACCTGATGGAAGAAAGTGTTAAGGTTCATAAACCCTCTGCCCACTCAAAATGTAGCTTTAACTTTTATGATTTTCCTAAAGAAATGTATTTTAAATACAAACGTTTCTATCACAGCTTGCGGGGTAGAATTAAACAAATAAGACATTTCAACTTGACAAATCTATAAAGGAATAATAGGCATTTATGTAATTAAGAGTTATCTCTCTTCTCAGAGTATCAATGAACCTTAATAACACATACACTATAACGTACAATCTTTCAATCTCTTCATATTGAATCTTAAACTACATGTATATTAATACGAAAAAAAGAAAGTCTTCGAGTTTTAAATAGTGATCAAAATATATTTGTTTTAAATCAGGACATGAAAGCACTATTATTTTATCATTTTAAATATCTTACGTGGAAGACGGTGCGTTCGTTATTGGGAAAAAAATTCTCCTTGCAGCAGACGTGGCGGTTACGTCAAGAACATCTGATGAGTTGCTGCATGATGCCTCTACACCTGAATAAATAAGGAGAAGACTTGTATTTAATCAGCAAATATATTTTAATAAACTTAATTGTTGAAAAACCACAAATGTCTCATACGATTATGGGATTCAGATGGTGCGATAGTAATCCGGATTCCATGTGTAATAACAACGTAAGAATGCATCGAAACTACAGAATGATCACCAGAAAACGTTTGCCTCTTTCTCACTAAAATATTTATAGTATTTAAAGGAGAAACTTAAGAAGTACTGTACTACAGTATATTCAAGAAGTGGTGTAAATCAGACGTGGATACTTAAAAACTCCAAAGAACTTTTAGAAAATTTGAAATCATAAAATTTTAACAAATTCAATAACATCAAAACGTACGACTTTTCAACACTTTATGCAAACATTCCCCACGATAAATTAAAGTTAAAGTTAATCAAAATTAAAGACATACACAACGTACCTTACCTACTGATAATTTTTCAAGATATTCTTAATTTAAGATAATAGTGCCATCAGATGTTCGTAGACAAAAAAATCAGGATACATTACCAGGGATTTTGAAAAGATATCTATTGTTAAATTCGTTAAATCAGATTCAACAACCAGGGCCTATAGAAAAATTTGTATTAATTCGATATAACGATTTGTGCGAATTTATATTAACGAATTTAAATCGTTATAACAAATTAGAGTATTCGTTTAAACGAATTTAATTCGTTATAATAAGTTTTAGAATTTGTTTTAACGAATTTAATTCGTTATTACAAATTTTTGAATTCGTTATATCGAATTCAACAAATTTGTTTTAACAGATTTAATTCATTAGAACGAATTCAAAGAAACTGTTATAACGAATTAAATTCTCTATAACAAATTCGACAATTCGTTATATCGAATTCAGAAATATTTTTTGATAGGTTCTAAATGGGCTTCCGTACATTTACCTATTTTCTGTGCAAATGAATAAAGGAGTTGTTGTGTGTTGGAGGATGGAGTCTGCCAAGCATTCCAACACACTTAAGAGACCATTCTTTCCTGTTACGACAGATTTAACTAGCACATGTTGTAGGACTATTTTTTTTCTTTTACCAATTCAATGTGTCTCTTTGGATGTTGTTAGAATAAAAAAGGTTTATGAAATAGGGGTATGCAAATTTTACTAGTTCATTTCAATTTTACCCCAACATTTATGTCAAAAAGTCCATCCAGGCAGCAGCTTGTTAGAAGTATGAGGTACATGTATTTGGTATTATAAACAGTGCAAAAAATTAAAAATTAACTTTAAATATCTGTACCTAACATATGCACAACCCAGACTACAGACAATGGAACAAAACACATGGAGGCCCTTACTCCTCTCCAACACCTTCCCAGGGAGATAGGATATAATTTTTAGCGATGGTACCCATGGGTACCAATTGCGCCCCGTTAATAGCAGACCTATTTTTGTATTCATATGAAGCAGAATTTGTTCAAAATCTTGTATGTGAAAAGAAGAAAAGACTTGCTGTGACCTTCAACTCGACATTTAGATATATAGACGACGTACTGTCATTTAACAATGGTTATTTCCATTCGTAGGTCGATACGATATATCCCAGTGAGCTTGAAATAAAAGATACCACAGAGTCTGACACATCTGTTTCATATTTGGACATTTTACTTGAAAAAGACGTTAATGGTAATCTAACAACCAAGTTTATGATAAACGTGATGACTTTAACTTTTCAATCATCAACTTCCCTCACTTATGCAGCAATATACCTTCATCCCCTGCAAATGGGGTTTATATCTCTCAGTTGATTCGATACACAAGAGCATGCTCTACGTATGAACAATTCCTAAAACGAGGTAAGTTATTGACAAAGAAGTTGATGAAACATGAATATCAGCAGTCTCGTTTAATGTCGTCAACAAATACAATTTATCATTAAGTCAAATGCTGACTGACGTTTTTCATACTGATTGTAGGCCATTATTTACACACTGAATTGTCAACGGATTTTTCCGTTATTACCCGATCATGACAAGGAGCACACGGCGGGTGTGACCGGTAGGCAGGGGATGCTCACTCCTCCATGGCACCTGATCCCACCTCTGATGTTTTAGAGGTCCATGTTTGCTCTGCTCCAAAATTTGTACTGTTTAATGGACTTTTGAGCTTGAATACTGTTCATTATCTCCATACATTTCATTTCCATATTACACAAACATTCTGTATTTAATGCTTTGTATTATATATTCTGTCTGATTGTAGAATTTAATAATTATGTAATGTTTGCGATTAACAAGTTGCACCGGAAATTTATCTATTCGAATACTGAATATCACTAATTTATTTTCAATACGAGGCATCACTTATCAGTTATATCACATATTCTAGTAAGTGATGATACTTATTAGTTATATCACGTATTTTAATAAGTGATGATACTTATTAGTTATATCTTGTATTCTAGTAAGTGGTGATACTTATTAGTTATATCATGTATTCTATTAATTGGTGATACTTATTAGTTATATCACATATTCTAGTAAGTGATGATATTATTAGTTATATCACGTATTCTATGATACTTATTAGTTATAACACGTATTCTAGTAAGTGATGATACTTATTAGTTATATCACGTATTCTAGTAAGTGATGATACTTTTTAGTTATATCACGTATTTAAGTAAGTAATGATTCTTATTAGTTATATCACGTATTCTAGTAAGTGATGATACATATTAGTTATATCACGTATTCTAGTAAGTGATGACACTTGTTCCTGTTTGTGATGTTGTAATCAATAATTTTTTGTTTGTGATGTTGTAATCAATAATTTTTTGTTGTAATCAATATTTTAAATTAATGGGATTTAATCACTTAGGATTATATCCATTTATTTATTTGTATCGTATTCTTTCAGAGTGTGAATGTTTTTGTAGCTAACTACATCATTAAAAAAGTGGGGACCAGCATCTTAAGGAAAATTTACTATAGCAAAATATTATATACTCAGAAAAAGGGGGGCTCCCCTGCGTTCTGTGGGCCTGGGTTCACTTGCATTTTTAGGGACACCATTTTACGTCTCGGCTGCCTTATTTGAGGGGTCGTGGCCAATTCAGCCAAATAAAATTAATATGTCGATTTATTATTGTTATTTGTCACTGAATACAAATAAGGCAATTAGCATTTTGCAATCCCTGTTTTTTTTTCAAGTCATTTTCATCTTTTGATAATTGGGGAAACTACTATACCTATTCAAATACACGAAGGTAAAATCAAATATTCGAACAAAAAGTACCATGAGCAATCTCACAAAGTGATATCTATACAACATTTTTTTAAATTGCTGCATCCACTGTTTTTCTATTACATAGTCATGGACCAGACACAAAATACTGGTGACTTTGAACTTACCCATATGACCTTGGGTAGAGGTCTTGACAAACAGGTCATGTATATTTTTGTGTCGAGTATGAAATTCCAATAATTTTTTCTCAAGACAAAATTTATACACTTTTTTCAGTCAGTGGCCGAGATCATTCCTAAAAGACATTAAATCAAGGTAATGGCACACCCTCAGGTAAAAAGCAATCTTTGTGTCAAGTATGGATTTCCAATAATTCCTTATTACAAAGTTATGGTCCTGATACGATTGCATAGACAGACAGATGGACAAGTTGATTCCTATATACCCCCAGAACTTGTGAAATTTTTATATCGCTACATGTAATATCAATTATTCGAATGATAAGCCGGAGAGGATCATTTCTGACAAGGTAAACAAAATTAATTCGATGGTTATCTCGATATAACGAGTTACAGGTAGTATCTCGTTATATTTACATTTCCAATGTCTTTGTCCGAGATAAAATTACAAATTGTAAAAATACTTTATTTCTACATAAATCTACTGGTTCATCGATAGGCGCGGTTAAAAAAGAATCACGTGCGGGGCGGGACAAATAGAGACAGAAGCGGGGCTATTAGCACGGGAATTTGCAGAATCAGGAGCATGTAAATATAAGGAATAACTGTCAGATTTTTTGGATTCATGACGATGATCAGTCGATTGGCTTGCGTGATAATTTTATGCATAAACGCCTTCGGCATATCACGCAAGCCACTCGATTGATCACATCATGAATCCAAAAAATTAGACAGTTATTCCTTAAATATAGAGTCAGTTATCTCATTCATGATTATAACAAGTTAACCATAACGAGTTAGTTATCTCGCTTTAACGAGTTTGTATCTCGTAAAAACGAGTTAGTTATCTCGTTATTACGAGTTAGTAATTTTTTATGCACACTATAAACAAATTTTATCGCCTCGACTCAGTTTATTTCCAATACTTGCATTCTTTACTAAGAGGTATCAACTCTGAAGAAAAATTATTATCTCGTTATAACGAGATAACAAACTACTTATATCGAGGTGCTAAGTAGTTATAACGAGATAACTAACTCGTTAAAAGGAGATAACTATCTCTTTACAACAAGATTATTATCTAGTTATAACGAGAAAATCATCTAGCTTTATTGAGTTAAATAAAGTTTTTTTTCATCCTCTCAAAAATGAATCCGGTGTAACAAAGAATTTTGATACAAAAAATACGGCGCCTCAGCCGAATATCAAATGTTCTTGAAAAACATTTCCGTGACCAAGTTCGAAAGGTGAAAATTCGTATAATTTTCAAAAACAATAATAGATTTAAATGTTAAGACATAATAATTAGACAGACATTGAGTTATTGATTTTTGTTTGCTAATTTACCAGGCGAAACGAAAAGAATTGAAAAATATCGAGAAATTTTACTTACTTGTACGCTGATATATTTCCAGGAGTACAATTATCAGCACTGTGGTTCGTATGTGCATTTGAATCTGAAGAAAAAGAGGGGAAACAACATTATAACCTTACAAGAAAATCTGTTATCGGTTAGTCGGGAAAAAAAATAAAATACGTGTAAATTTGAAAATAATTTCTTTCAAATTTAATTTTAAAAAACCCTGATCCTTTTTTTTTTGTATGTGTTATGGCTTAAGGCTCTCTGGATGAGATCACGGGGGTAATTGGTCGGTTTATTTTTTAAACACCATCATGTCGTTAACCAGTCTATACAGTATTTTATTCAATAAATCGACGTCGAGTACTGTATTTTATTATATACTTTATCCTCTCTATCCTTTACAGTTATTTATCTAATCATAAGTTGTTTCGTTCTTTGTAAATGAGATATTAATTAAAGAATAGAACGAAAATGGCAACACTAGTCTTACAAGTTGATTTAAAACCAAACTGAGCGTCATTAACATTATTACATTCTGACCATTAATATTGTTTAGAACAGAGATACAATGTTAACATAGGTTGCTGACCAGACTGGTTCCTCTATTTATCAGGGTCAGAATTATATCCCTTTTTAAACACGTACAATTACCGTTGACCAAAATTCAGGGAGAAACCCTTTATGTTGAATACATTTAAAAAGTATGCAGAATGGGCACAAAATATTCTTCAAATTCAATGAAATATTTATTGGGTATAAAATCTTCCTCATGAGATTTGCCTCTTTTTAAATTTTTAATAACAATTTTAGTTTTATTAATATCAATATCTTTATTCATTTCTTCAAAAATACATTCATCAACATCATTGAAAAATTCATTATTAATATTCTAGTGTGAAAATGATTTAAAATTTTCAAAAACTCACTCAATGTTGCATTAGACCTCAAGTTGGATTTTCGTTAAAATTTTGCAAAAAAATTGCTTGGGGTTATTCTTCTTTAGAATCTCTAACCTTTGACCTTCATGTAATAAAAATTGTCTTTTTTTAAACCAATTTTCTATGATTGACCACTTTTATAAAAATTATTTTTTTTAAATGCTACAATGCAAACTTTATGCAATGATATTTAATTAAGCAATAGATCAGACTAAGATCTGATTATGGTGACAATGCAGAATGAACTCGTGTGATATCTGGTCTAAAAATTATTAATATCTCTGATATCTCAAGTTTGTTTCACGGTTTTCATATTGTGGTCCTTGTTCATAGAAATAGGAATATAATATTTTATACTGTTATGATCAAACACGGAATACTACTAACAGTCTTCTTGCGTTATACAGCTCACTTGTAGAAAAAAAAACGTCAAGAAAATGCGTACTTTGATACGGTTAACCGGTCGGAACGTCTTGCGGTTAACCGATCAGTTATTCTGTATTCATTTGTCACCCCTAGTTAATTTCTTTCTTTGCAATTCATTTCTGCACAAATATATGCATTTCCTTAATATTTATCTACACTTTTCCACTGGTTTTCTTTTAAGTCAATTATCCACTTCAAACACAAATTAAGCAACCTTTCCATATTATGCTGTTAGAATGAATGGCTATTTGTAAAGCAAACCAAGGTTGCAAACATCGGCGGGGGAGGAGGGAGTTATTTTTTTCAAAACTTTTTTTTTTAAGTTGAAAGCTGTCGAATTTGTTTTTCAATTATTTTTCGAATTTGTTTTTGAACTATTTTGTTTTTGATTCTTGACTCGGTTCCATGCTCTACTCAACGATGGCACACTGAACACAGAAATGTGGAATCATGGACTCACCCCGGAGACTTGGCCCCACAAATATTGTATTTTGTTAAAAGGCTTAGAGCTTTTATAGGAAGATTTTCAAAGGTACTCTGAACAATAAATGTTCAATACTTGACCGTCTTAGCCCTACACTCGGACCTCGGACCTGCAACATCCTGTGTGGACTTGACCCTGGAGCCAGGGGGTGGTGATTTTTACTTATTTGGTAAAGACTAACTGCTCTTTATTCTAATGCAGACAGTTTGCCTGCTTGATTACAGGAGTGTAGAGGAATATCTTTAAAGAATCCATACATTTTGATGGTTTCGTTCCAACTCCTTAGGCCCATGAAATTCATTTTTTTAATTTCTCTTTATCCAGAGATACTCAAATCTAAAACTAATGAAACTGTTTCGGCCAATTTAGAGAAATGAAAATGATTAATAGTTTACGAACAACGCACTCGGGTGACGGTAAAAGAACAAGTGGCGTGTATAACCGGATTACGAGTTTACTGTGAACATGTTTATAAGCTTAATATAGACTTGAAGTTCATTAATCAGTCACAGTCAATAATTTCACTACAAACAATGATAAGATATTAAACACACACAAACGCATATTATTGGTATAAAATATGGACTTGGAATATAAATGTCACATTCCTTGTGAATTACAGTACTGATAATTTTCTGATATTTATTTACTTGAAGAAAATATATGCATACATTCATAAAATGCCAATAGCTTTGACTTTTCGCTTTCCATATTTTCAACAGTATGTCTTGAATATTTCATATTTTTATAGGGTGCCACAATACTTGATCTGTTATGAACTCCTTCGCGACCTTTTTTAAATTGCTGTTTACAAATTCTTTAAATTACATGTATTCAGACGAATACCTCTTTGTCTTCAGTTTAGAGACTAGACTAACCATTTAATTTTCTGGATAATAGAACTTTGTACAGTTCGTTTAAACCATTATAACTTTGTTTATAACGTTGTTATGCCTTCCGATGACAAATCTTATTCTCTCCAAATCCGGATTGAATCTTTCAATTTTTTCCCGTGCTTGGAGAATTGGGGTATATTGGTGACCTTAGAAATTGTAAAATTCATGCCCCCTTCCCAGCTTGTCAAGCGTTCAGACCCCAGGTTGGGCAAAGTTGGTAATTCATTGAAAGTACATTACATGTTTGAAAATCTTCATAGTTCACATAAACATTTAGCAAACATATTGTGTGCACAATTATTATAAGCAGCTTGTCCTCTACAAAAATTGTAGAATTCATATACCTTGGCTCCCAGGTATCAGAGTGAGGCTTAATGTAATCAAATTTTTTTTTACATAGGGGCGTATTACATTTTCACAAATTTTTAACAATCTCATTTTACGTTTCCGCAAAATGTTTTGTTAGGTTTTGACAAAGTAATATAAATGTATTGCTATTGATACTGACCTCCCACAGTTTACCTGTGGTCCCTGACAGCACCAAATTAACAAAGACTCAACTTGACTTCTTTATAAAGAATTTGCAAAATATACGAATCAAGAAGTTACCATGATTGAATTTTAAAGGACTGTCGATTACAGATTAGGTGTACAAACAGACATGTAAGATGTTCTGGCACCATTTATACCCGACGGAAGTTGTTACAGTAGCATATAGAACACTTTATGAAATGCTACAGCTAGGGTGCCATTTTGTATTGATAGTCAAAAAGTAAGAATCGATATTTTATGCACTACCATATTAACTTTCATGCTTCATTTTTATGTAGTGCTACGGAGTGCTATTTTTTTTTCATCAGTATGTGTTATTTCATCAGTATGTGTTATTTTATCAGTATGTGTTATTTTATCATTCATGTTGCACAGTTTTATTTTATTGATAGGCATGTTTAATTTATAATTCTTTACCTGTGTGCCAGAAATCCAGGTAACATATATGCGGAACCGTAAATGCCGTAATACAATGGGTTTTTTTTTCTTGCGTAATCGTAACTTTGTTCTTAACAGAAAGATAATATCAATTTGTGGTGCCCTGCCAATAGTACCTGTCATACAGTAAAGGAATAATAATTCAATCTAAAATGAGAAAAAAAAAAAACAAACCGTGAATTGTTTTTTTAATTAAAAAAATTCAAATGCTGAAGGTAGTCCGATCATCAGATTCCGAAAATCAGTACTTTGGTAATATAAAATACTGATAAAAATGTCTCTGAATTTACAAAGTAATATGTTTTACCCATTGTATTTCTTAGCGTTCATCATTATAGTTAATCATATTATATAGAGAAAATTATCAAATCTCAAAAATATTTTAAGGAAACACGAAAAAGGCACCAGCTATGCATTTTTTAATTGAAAATTGGACAATAAATATAATTTAGGACAATAAACTACATGTATCCAGGCTTTTGGAGAATGTGGTCATACTTGTACGGTATTTTCGTTCTATTTACTTCAATTGTTATATAATAATATAATGTAAAAAGCTTGTGCTTTCATTGCAAGACATCACAGATCACTCCTAATTTCATATTATGCTAATCAACATTGGATTTCTAAGGCAAGATTAAAGGAAATTCAATTTCTCTAAAAATGTATTTATTTTTGTACTTTTATGGGGTACAAATGTTAATTTTGTTTCTAAAGAACCTTGAATCATATTGAGATTGATAACATAAAAATTGTTGCATGATAAGATTTTAATTTCAAACTTCATTCATAGACTCTTTAAATGAAATGATAATTTTAAGAGTTATCGTTCATAGCTGAGGATCGGACATCCTTAACCACCAACGAATGAAAGAAAACCGATATTAATTTCATCAAATAATTAAGAAATTATAGTAATCTATCCAAAACATTCTATAGTACTGGGACTAAGAGTCCATTTTTGTCATTTTGATATATAATCTTACCTCATATGAATTTAACAACGTGCCTGTATCCGATGAGTTGGTGCTTGTACACTACACGAGACGCGCACGGATGTCTTAGACTACGATATAAATATTCAACAATTCTTTAACAATTTCAAAGAAGCGAAAGTCCGATTATCTGCTTCTACTGTGTTAGTCATCTCATTACAAAAAATTTAAACACCGACAATAAAATACTTCCTGTAAATATTTTCTTAACCGTTTAATTAAGTTCTCCAAGAATTATGTTTTGCCATTGAAGGCAGTGTACAAAGAATGGTCGATGTCTTGTATGGACCGTAGGATAATTTTTTTACTCCTATAAAAATTTTTCTCCAAACTTTAAATAAGGACTTTTTAAGTCATCCTTTCTCTCCCTCTCTCTCCCCTATCGGTCACTTTGAGATTCTACACACACTTTTGGAATCCCTGTCATTAATAAAACTGCTTAATTGTCTGGTAACAAATAATCAACTGTAGTTACTATTCATGTGAATGTACATGTAACCCCCCCCCCCCCCCCAAGATCCGCGCATGATATTAAAACTCCAATTCTATCTTTAAGATTTTTGAGTAACATACCAGAATTTTCCTAAAATGAATCATAAGATGGCATTTCAAAACTCCTCCACTCCTTATACCCCAAACTTTATAAAGTAGTAAAGAAAACAAGTTTGTTCCATCCCTATGAACGATATTTACCAAAACGTTCATGTGTGGATCGTGAAATTTTCTTCAAGGGATCAATTCCCACAAAAAAAGCTCAAATATTTTCTTTCAAGACCTCCCCCCTCCCTAGAATTTGCAGAGGTATTAAAAGTATATACTGAAACAAATTTTAAAAAAAATGACCTTCGACCCCCCCCCCCCTTAGAAAACGTGGACCCCACCATCACCACCACGAAATAAGTGTTAGGTGTTTTTCACGTTTGGGAAATGGATTGTAGTTTTTTTTTTTGTTTTTGTTTTGCTTTTTGCTTGTCGAGAAATTTTTGGGTTGAAAATTTTTTTTTGGACTGGAGTGGACCCCCCTGGAAAAAATTCCTGGATCCGCGCCTGAATATGATTATCTTTCTGTCAAGCAGATCTATCTTATAACTGAATTCTCTAAACAGGAACAAGGCATTGATGAAAATTACGAGAGCGTGATGATATTTATAAACAATTTAAAGGGAATACGGTCAATGAATGAACGTAACTAACGTCTCATACACAATCCCGAGTAACAATAAAGAGATCGAAAAAACACCATGCTCAACGTTTAAAGGTCCCAATAGCAGCTTTGTTCTGTTGTCAGATCTCTGTATACTAAACACAACATGGCAATTCCATGGTCTTGATATCTCTATTAAGCCAAACTTATTTTTCATCAAAATGGAGAAATTGATAATATGGTGCTATGTATTTTGCAGTTTTTTCGGCTTTGGTAAGTTTTTTCTATTATAAGGTGTTTTACTAAGTAATCAGATTTTCTGACTTATCTTTTACTTTGGGATTTTTGACGAGCAATATAGGCAGAGACAATCAATGGATCAATATTTTGAATTTAAAATTACATTTCCTGAAAATTAGATGTCGACAATCAAGATGCATTGAAGACATGAATCATATTCAAATGATTTTGTTCCACTTCTTATTTCAATACTTGTACTACCTGAGATGTTGTTGTGTTATATTTGGTATATCATAATCTAAAGACACGAATGATGCAACAAAATGTGGTTCTGTTGAAGGAGAGTTTACACTACTTTACAAATGAAAATAGATCACAATTTGAGCTAGACAAGCTTCAAAGAGTATCCGTCTTGATGCTTTTTTACCGTTATGATTCGCATAATACTGTCTTTTATTAATTTTCAATCTAAAGTTGAAAATGATTACATGACAAATTATTAAAACTTAACTTTTTTTGAATTATTAAAATAAATTACATATTTCAAAGATAAACAGGTATATTGAAAAACTGTAAGTTTTTCTCCATGACAATACCATATGCCAAATTACACGTAAAATTTTCGTGTTTCCAGAACAGTCTTCTTCCCTTTATTGTAAGGATTTGTTCATTGAATTGAAAAGGTTGTTTAAAATCGAAGTTCCATATTTAAGGTTAGACTGAAAAGACGTTATAGAGAGAAGAGAATTCGATTTAATATTCAATCATTCCATTAAATGATGTTATTGTGGGAATTGATATAGTCATATAAGTTTTTTTTCCCCACAACCTATCGCTTCAAAAAAGTTTGGGGCAAGTTTCATTCTCCTGTTAGTTAGGTGAATTGTTCAAACTTTTGCAGTTTTACGCTGTAGACAGTTACACGAACAATTCTTGATTTGACATGAATGAGACGTTTGAAATTCCTGTATCCAAGATTTTCAATAAGATCGGAAACAACATCTCTTTCATTTTTTTTTCCGACAGCCCTTAGTCAATGCAGTGCTAATAACTTGGTGAGCACTGAGAGTCTTCCTGCTGCTACCCGGACCCTCCAGACCTTTAGTTCCCCAGGATGGAAGGTGTCCTATTACTCGTGAGTAACTTGACCGTATATAACACTCAATTGCTTATATAGAACTATCGAATACCTCATGGAACATGACTGAATAACACCCGAATAACACCAAAATACAGACATTGACTAAATAACACCCAAATACAGACATTGACTAAATAACACCAAAATACAGACATTGACTAAATAACACAAAATACAGACATTGACTGAATAACACAAAATACAGACATTGACTAAATAACACCCAAATACAGACATTGACTAAATAACACCCAAATACAGACATTGACTAAAAAACACCCAAATACAGACATTGACTAAATAACACCCAAATACAGACATTGACTAAATAACACAAAATACAGACATTGACTAAATAACACAAAATACAGACATTGACTAAATAACACCAAAATACAGACATTGACTAAATAACACCAAAATACAGACATTGACTAAATAACACCAAAATACAGACATTGACTAAATAACACCAAAATACAGACATTGACTAAATAACACCAAAAATGATACCAATATATTGAAATCTTATCGATCATTAAATGTTTGTCAAAAACTGAAACCATGTGGATGGCTTTGACAAAAACACCCTAATACTGATACCTTGCATATGGAACTTTGCTAATTAACTAAATAATATCCAGAATCGGAAGCTTATCAGTTTTAAAACAACTTTTTATCGACTCGATAAAAATGATGCATAACTTTCTTCGACTACATGTATATATTAATTCTATTGTATAATGCGTGTAATAGCAATGTGAATTACAATATCTCAGTATTATATCAAACAAGCTGTGTTCTAAAAATACACCGACCTTCTACAGGAACATGGACTGTAAGTGGCAGATAACTGCCGGGAATGGTAACCGTGTCGTGGTGGACATGCGGGAGTACATTATAGAAGATGGCGAGGGACCAGAATGTGTCTATGACTTCCTCCAGTTCTTTGACGGTTAGTTTAGACAATTAATCTCACAAGAAATGCAAAAAGCCGGCGTTTTTACTTATTTTAATTTCTATATTAAAATTTATACATGTATTTAAAGATTCTGAAGTAATTCTGATTAATAACAGGATCCAGCACTAGCGCCCAGTCCGTGACGGTCTGCGGTACAGCTCGTCGGGGCAGGATGTTTGTGTCCACTGGAAAAGATGCACTTATCCGACTTAAAAGTGACTATAGTTTAGAAATGGCCGGCTTCACAATGAGATACTTCATCGGAAAAATGGAAGGTTCTTAAACTTATGAAGACATGTATAAAATTATCGAATCACTCTTTTGGTAGTTAAATCTAAAGTTTTCAAAGTATTATCATTTGAAGATATCTTGTAGATCAGGGTGGCTGTGCTTCTATCGTTGTGAGTTTGACAGCAACCGGTACCGTCCAATACCTGACTAACAAACAATGGCCGGACTCTTACGACGAGTAAGGGAACCTTTATTATTTCATTTTTATTTGCTTTAAACAAATAAATTTCTTGGGAGAAACACCTGCTTAAAAAATTTACAAGTGGGAAGAAACTATGTGATATACTTACTTGTCCATTAAGAACTAAGGATACTGAGGATGCTATATTGTTTTTTTTTTAAACAGAGGGTCGTTGTGTCAGTGGCGCATCACCTCATCTGCAAAGGTAGAAATACAGATTCTGTTTTCTGATCTGATGAGCGGAGAGGAATGCTACTCGGACACGCTTGATATATATGACGGTATGGATATTTCTCTAAACACGCTGAACAATGACTTAAACTTAGATAATAAAATCATAATTCATTAAGCTTACTAGATCCAAGGTCAAGTGAGTCTCCTCTCCATATTTATTTCAGGGTCTAGTGATGCCTCCACCCCTCTCACCCAGACATTCTGTGACAGCAGAGATACATTTCCCAGTAGGAATACTTTGACATTTTTAACCAGTGGTACGGATGCCTTTATCAAATTCAGATCCATTCGAAGCGGCTGGACAAGACATGGGTTTGTCTTGAGCTTTAGACAAGAAGGAACTGGTAAGATAAATTTCTCTGTAATAAAATAAATGGTTAAGACCAAAGAAAACTTACTTGCAACTTGTTTTATTTTTCCAATGAATAAGCTAAAGCTTTGATAATAAACATCGAGAAGAATGAGAAAACGAGTTTGTGTATTGTTCCCACATTCACTAAATTTATCGACATTTATAGCTGCTACCACTACCCAAGCCCCCACGACGACCACCACACAACCACCGAATGACGTGTGTAGCAGTGGTACTATACAGCTAACAGCCACAAACGACACACAATATATACAGTCTCCAAGCTATCCAATATTCTACTCACCGTAAGTAGGGCTTAGACACATTATCTATGGTTGCCTCTGAATCAGATACAAGCCAGATATATATATATATATATATATATATATATATATATATATATATATATATATATATATATATATATATATATATATATATATATAGTTTAAGTGGATTAAAACCTTGAGTAATTTACCTTTGCATGGAGTTAGTAAATGATATTTCCACCACAGGAACCTGATATGTTCTTGGTTGATCCAGGGACCGGAAGGAAGTCTGATTCAGCTGAAGGTTATAGATTCCTATCTGGAAGACAGTGAGGACTGTGTAGGAGACTCTGTTAACATCCATGATGGTGAAAATTTACCTTAGTTTATATATAGATTATGATAACGTATTCATTATATGTCTGGAAACTATCAACTTTATGAAATATAGTTTAGTCTGAATTTTCTAGAGAAAATAGTACGTATAATCTAGAAACTCACTGATGACATGGTTCCTATCGTGGTTCCTATTAACATTTAATTGAATTATAACCTTTAAGTACTCATTATGTTGTTAGTTGTCATCTCTTTTCAGCGCTGGAAATTCTGTAACTCCTTAAAACAAATATTTCTTTCTTACCTGTGTAGATAAATATTCGTTCAATGAAGTTTGTTTTGATTCATAAACACAGGCGGCAGTGCTGAGGCAGCTGTGATTGCTACATACTGCGGGGAGATCTCTAGCAGCGTCAACTCCACTAGCAACAAGTTGTACATCCGGTTCCGGTCGGATGGATCCGTCGGTCAAAGAGGGTTCAATCTGGAGTATACAGCCCTTACAGACTACTGTAAGTCGTCGATGGTATTAATTCGTGCACAACAATGTAGATGGCGTTGTTGCATGGAAATAATCAGGTTTTTTTGCTTTCAATAATAATCTCAAATCTCAACACATTTTTTTCAGCGGCCCCATCTTGTGTTCCACCTGCAGGAGTAACAAATCTTGTTGCCAATTCTACAGCCCAGTATTTTGAATCACCTAATTACCCTAATAACTATGATAAGTAAGTGTGATAAATTTTTTAAAGGAACATTATATTATGTTCATTCTCAGTAACACTATCTAGTTAATGTTATTACTCAAATTGTTGAATTTTCAGCTCAACAACAGTTTACTGGCTGATTCACAATCCCACTGATAGTGGTTATATTAAGCTTGAAGTAGAGGATTCTAGAATTGAGGCTAATCCGTCCTGTTCATTTGACAAGGTTACAGTATATAGAGGTAATATATTTATGTTTGTGAAAGATCTGAACTGGTAATTACATTTTAAGTGATGCTAAATATAACCATGTCAGATATGACAAATAGTTGTGTATCTTTATCACTCGTAAATGTAGTAAAAGTTGAATATCTTGAAAACTTCACCCCTGCATCACTTAATTCTTAATTGTTTTCTCTATACCTTGTTTTCCCCAGGTCCCTGCACTACGTACCCTGTCCTGGATTCTTTCTGTGGGGTGGAGAAGCCCACCATCACCCAGTACACTGGCTCCTATGTACTAGTGGCCTTCATTACGGACTCCACTGCTCAGTTCAAGGGATTCAGAATCAAGTACTACGTCACCACAGGTAGTATTACCTCACCAGTGGTAGAAATCCAAAACTGTATGCATTAATAAGAAAAAATTATAAAGTTGATTGGACTTGGCTGATATATTTGTAAACATAAATTGTATCAAAAACTTTATAACCTACTAATTAAAGTACATGCAGTTCTTTTAAGCTTTAAGTTTTTGTTAGTATGGTTAACAACCTATAAAGAATTGAGAATTTTATTAAAAGAGAGATTGCTACAAGTACATATATAATCATATATAATATATACTATATTTACTGTAAAATATACGTGTTTCAATCTTCCAATTTTGTCTTCCATAATTGCAGAGAGAGAAAAGACCAGCACTTTTTGGCAAGATGTTGCACTGATAGCTGGAGTAACTATTGCGGCTATTGTTGCTGTCGGATTAATAGCAGGGTTAGCAATAGCAATAAAGAAAGGAAAACTCCCTGGTATGAAATCGGGTAAACCTAAAAAGCGCCGTCTATCGGTGTCTAGTGTTAGTAGTAGTAGTAGCGATAGTGACAGTGACAATGACGCCAAGAAAAAGCGCCGCCCAAAGACCGCGCTCAGATCCAAAACGAAAGTAAAACTACCACCAGTTCAGTCATCCAATGTGGACAAACTACCAGACTTACCCATATCAAAACAAAGCAAATTGCCACCTATTTCAAAGATTTCTAAGTGATTCTGTGAATACTGCATTTATTGTATAATGCCCGGATTGATGCAAATTGACAGTGTGTGGGAATTTACTTTAAAATTGAATTTGAGATTGTTATGTGAATTTGTTTGAATGGCTTAAAAATTCATTAACTTTATATATGATGTCTCTAGAGATTATAACATTTATGTAGTATGTCTTAAAAGTCTATTATCTCTATATATCATTGCGAATGAATTAATTTGCTTTTGTTAACTACATTGCGAATTTGTTTGAATGTTTTTAATATTCATTAGCTTTATATACATGTACGTGTATTATATCTTGAGAGATTATAAATTTTATGTAGTATGTCCGAAAAGTTTAGAACTTTATATACTATTGCGAATTCATTTATTCGCTTTTGTTAATTAAATTGCGGTTTTTTTAAATTACATTTGAGGAGTTGTTTGAAACAATACTTGGCTGTAGGATATTATGTTCTAATTTTTTAGGTCCCCGCTAAGCGTATATAGGACCTAAGATCAAAAGGCAATATAAGCAACCGTTTTCTCCTCAATCACTAAGAGGTTATCGAAAGTTTCTTAGATTTTTGAAACCTAAGATTACTTAAGTTTTGTTTATATAATTTAAAAAAAGTCTTCAAGGTTTATTTCAATTTTATATACATGTAGATATTTTTATATTTCAAAATAATATTTGTAGACATTTCTTTAAATATGTACATTTATGATGAAAATTGAGTAATTTTTGTCACTTAACAATATGTAAAAAAGCTATCACGCTGCATTTGAATCAAAATTAACTTAAGCTTTAATCAATTGAACGAGAAATGTATTAGTCTATTCAAATAACAGCTTAGATTTTTAAGAAAATAATTGTTTGTAATAAAATTTTTATTTAAAATACAATACTGCTTTCTTTACTTGAGAATATTCGTAAATATCGAAAAAATAAAGAATAAGATAGCATGTTGATGTTCAATTTAGACATGAATTGCCCAGAGAATGATACATTTTTAATGGGAATGTATTTGACCTTGAATCGTTCAAATGACCTTGGTTAAGGTCCTCTGATTTAACGAATCATTGTAAGCATGAGCTACTGATGGTTCTCCATTACAATGAGGTATAATATGTATGCTGTTTTGGATCTCGTAACAAACCTCTATAACCAGGCAGAGCGCATGCGTGAAATAAATTTCCATCGAGATCGGAAAACAGCAGAGAGGAAATTCGGAATATATAATGGAAACTAGTAATGCGGAATGATACTATAGTCAGATGCAGAAATTTTTGCATAATTCGATCAACTTTTATTTAAAAAAGCAGAAGAATAAATTAATCAACTTTAAAGTTAGTTTTTATTTATTTATTTATTCAATTATTAATTAATTAATTTATTTATTTAATTTATTTATTTATCATTCTTATAATTAATTAACTAAGTAACTGATTAATTTATTAAAAAATATATTATTTGTATTTTTATTTAAATTCATTTATTACATTCTTTCCTTCATTTATTAATTATTCCATCCATTAATTAATTATCTATTAATTAATTCATTGATTTATTAATTTGTATGCATGTTTGTTTATTTATTTATTTATTTATTTATGATTCTAATAATTAAGTAATTGATTAATTCATTAAGGAGTTCATTTATTTGTTTATTTATTATATTCATTCCTTCATTTATTTCGTATTCTATTAATTTATTTATTTATTTATTTATTATTTATCTATTTATTTATGCATTCATTTATTCGTATTTTTATTTATTTTTTTATTGATTGATTGATTTATTTTTGCATTTATTTATTGATTTATTAATGCATTTATCATATATTTCTTTTATAAATTAATTATTTTTACAGGGTTTGTATACTTATTACCAGGGTCTGTTTATGTATTGCCATAGTTTGTATACCATCACCAGGGTCTATATACCTATCACCAGGGTCTGTATACCTATCACCAGGGTCTGTATACCTATCACCAGGGTCTGTATACTTATCACCAGGGTCTATGTACCTATCACCAGGGTCTGTATACCCATCACCAGGGTCTGTATACCCATCACCAGGGTCTATAAACCTATCACCAGGGTCTATATACCCATCACCAGGGTTTGTATACCCATCACCAGGGTCTGTATACCTATCACCCGGGTCTCTTTACTTATCACCAGGGTCTGTATACCCATCACCAGATTCTGTATACCTATCACCAGAGTCTGTTTACCCATCACCAGTGTCTGTATTATCTATCACCAGGGTCTGTATACCCATCACAAGTGTCTGTATACCCATCACCAGGGTCTGTATACCTATCACCAGAGTCTATGTACCCATCACCAAAGTCTGTATTATCTATCACCAAGGTCTGTATACCCATCACCAGGGTTTGATACCCATCAACAGGGGCTGTATTCCCATCACCAGGGTCTGTATACCCAACACCAGGGTCTGTATACCCATCACCAGGGTCTGTATACCCATCAACAGGGGCTGTATTCCCATCAACAGGGGCTGTATACCTATCACCAGGGTCTGTATTATCTATCACCAGGGTCTGTATACCCATCACCAGGGTCTGTATATCCATCACCAGGGATTGTATTATCTATCACCAGGAACTGTATATCTATCACCAGGGTCTGTATACCCATCACCAGATTCTGTATACCTATCACCAGGGTCTGTATACCCATCACCAGTGTCTGTATTATCTATCACCAGGGTCTGTATACCCATCACCAGGGTCTGTATACCCATCACCAGGGTCTGTATACCTATCACCAGGGTCTGTATTATCTATCACCAGGGTCTATATACCTATCACCAGGGTCTGTATACCTATCACAAGGGTGTGTATGCCCATCACAAGAGTCTATATACCCATCACCAGGGTCTGTATTATCTATCTACAGGGTCTGTATACCCTTCACCAGGGTCTGTATACCTATCACCCGGGTCTCTTTACTTATCACCAGGGTCTGTATACCTATCACCAGGGTCTGTATACCCATCACCAGGGTCTGTGTACCCATCACCAGGGTCTATAAACCTATCACCAGGGTCTATATACACATCACCAGGGTCTGTATATCCATCACCAGGAATTGTATTATCTATCACCAGGAACTGTATATCTATCACCAGGGTCTGTATACCCATCACCAGATTCTGTATACCTATCACCAGGGTCTGTATACCCATCACCAGTGTCTGTATTATCTATCACCAGGGTCTGTATACCTATCACCAGGGTCTGTATACTTATCACCAGGGTCTATGTACCTATCACCAGGGTCTATATACCCATCACCAGGGTCTGTATACCCATCACCAGGGTCTGTGTACCCATCACCAGGGTCTATAAACCTATCACCAGGGTCTATATACACATCACCAGGGTTTGTATACCCATCACCAGGGTCTGTATACCTATCACCCGGGTCTCTTTACTTATCACCAGGGTCTGTATACCCATCACCAGATTCTGTATACCTATCACCAGGGTCTGTATACCCATCACCAGTGTCTGTATTATCTATCACCAGGGTCTGTATACCCATCACCAGGGTCTGTATACCCATCACCAGGGTCTGTATACCTATCACCAGGGTCTGTATTATCTATCACCAGGGTCTGTATACCTATCACAAGGGTGTGTATGCCCATCACAAGAGTCTATATACCCATCACCAGGGTCTGTATTATCTATCAACAGGGTCTGTATACCCATCACCAGGGTCTGTATACCTATCACCCGGGTCTCTTTACTTATCACCAGGGTCTGTATACCTATCACCAGGGTCTGTATACCTATCACCAGGGTCTGTATACTTATCACCAGGGTCTATGTACCTATCACCAGGGTCTATATACCCATCACCAGGGTCTGTATACCCATCAACAGGGTCTGTGTACCCATCACCAGGGTCTATAAACCTATCACCAGGGTCTATATACACATCACCAGGGTTTGTATACCCATCACCAGGGTCTGTATACCTATCACCCGGGTCTCTTTACTTATCACCAGGGTCTGTATACCCATCACCAGATTCTGTATACCTATCACCAGGGTCTGTATACCCATCACCAGTGTCTGTATTATCTATCACCAGGGTCTGTATACCCATCACCAGGGTCTGTATACCCATCACCAGGGTCTGTATACCTATCACCAGGGTCTGTATTATCTATCACCAGGGTCTATATACCTATCACCAGGGTCTGTATACCTATCACAAGGGTGTGTATGCCCATCACAAGAGTCTATATACCCATCACCAGGGTCTGTATTACATTGTATCTATCAACAGGGTCTGTATACCCATCACCAGGGTCTGTATACCTATCACCTGGGTCTCTTTACTTATCACCAGGGTCTGTATACCTATCACCAGGGTCTGTATACCTATCACCAGGGTCTGTATACTTATCACCAGGGTCTATGTACCTATCACCAGGGTCTATATACCCATCACCAGGGTCTGTATACCCATCACCAGGGTCTGTGTACCCATCACCAGGGTCTATAAACCTATCACCAGGGTCTATATACACATCACCAGGGTTTGTATACCCATCACCAGGGTCTGTATACCCATCACCCGGGTCTCTTTACTTATCACCAGGGTCTGTATACCTATCACCAGATTCTGTATACCTATCACCAGGGTCTGTATACCCATCACCAGGGTCTGTATACCTATCACCAGGCTCTGTATACCTATCACCAGGGTCTCTATACTTATCACCAGGGTCTGTATATACCCACCACCATCTATAACTATCATCAGGGTCTATATACCTATCATCAGGATCTGTATACCAATCACTAGGGTCTCTTGACCCATCACCAGGGTCAGTTTATCCATCACCAGGTTCTGTATACCAATCACTAGGGTCTCTTGACCCATTACCAGGGTCAGTTTATCTATCACCAGGTACTGTATACCAATCACCAGGGTCTATATACCCTTCATCACGGTTTTTTCTTCCATCGTTCAGGGTCTAGTTCCCATCTTTTTAGTAGGGTGATCTTCAACATAGTTTGCATTATGAAAATGAATCCAATTACTT